ACTCGCGGCTGGCCTGTGTCAGCTGGGGTGACCAGATAGCAAGTCTGACACACTGGGATAGGGGGTGGGGGGTAATAGACACCTATAAAAGACAAAACCTTGAATATCAGGACTGTCCCTATAAAATTGGGACATCTGGTCACCCTAGTCCAGTGGCTCTCAAACTTTTTTCCTGGTGACCCCTTTCACATAGCAAGTCTCTGCGTGTGACCCCCCCCTTATAAATTAAAAACACTTTTTTATATATTTAACACCATTATTATAAATGCTGGAGGCAAAGTAGGGTTTGGGGTGGAGGTTGACAGCTCACGACCCCCAACGTAATAACCTCACGACCCCCTGAGAGGTCCCGACCCCCAGTTTGAGAACCCCTGCCCTAGTCATCTGACTTAGGTTTGTGGGGCTCGGGCTGCAGAGCTTAAAAATGGCAGTGTAGACATTGGGCGAGGGCTGGAGACCAGGCTGGGAGACCGCACGAGGGGGGAGGGTCCCGGAGCCTGGGCTCCAGCTTGAGCCTGAATGGCTACCTTACAATTTCATAGCTCCACTGCTCGAGCCCTGCAAGGCTGAGTCAGCGGATATGGGTCAGCCGTGGGTGTTTTATTGCAGTGTAGGCATACCCAGAGACTCTGGTTGGGATTTTCAAAGGTACCTGAGGCCTGGTCTCTACACAGTTTTTGAACCAAATTAACTGTTTCAGTTAGGGGTGTGGTATTTGGGGGTTTTCTAAAAAAAAATAACAAAAAAACCCAAACCACTCAAATCACAGTTATACCAAAACAACCCCTAGTGTAGCCACTTACACCAATATAAAGGTGCCTTACACTGCTATAGCTTATTTCCTTCCCCTCACAAAAATATCTGTACTCGTGTAAAGTGCTTTAAATTGTGCTATAACTGCATGTCTGCTCAACAGTCTTCTACCACTTCAACTATATCACTGTTAGAGCTGGGTGGCGAAAGGTAACTCCATTTTCCAGAGGATTTTGATATATCAACATCTGGTTTTGTTCCAATTGAGAATGAAACCCAAACATTTCAAAGTTCTCTTCAAAAGGAAATGGATCCCTGGTGGTTGCCCTAGAGTTGCAGATCCTGGGAGCCTTGCAGTCCCCATCTCCAAGGCAGCCTGCCTCAGGGATCCTGAGAGGTCGGGCTGCCAAGGAGCCACAAGCTGGGGTTTCCAGGCTCCCAGCTCCCCACCAGACCTTCAGGCAGGCTGCTGAGAGGCTGAGCTGGCAGAAAAGCAGGCAGGGTTCTATTGGAACATCATCAAAATCAAACCATCTCCACAGAATGTTTCTATTCTGACAAATTAGCCAATTCCAACAACAACAACAAATTTTCATCAGAATTTTTCTGACTAGCTCTAATTGGTATAGTTAAGTGGTACAATGTGTGTAGCCTAGGGCTGAGGGATGAGGCAGGCACCCAAATCCCACTGAAATTCAATGGGAATTGGTCACAGGCTCTTTTGAAAAACCTAGTCTCTGGCAATAGTATTTAGGTACTCAACGTTAATTATGAAAACTATATCATGCTAACTGGTCCTGCCCTGCCTAAATGATCCCCTGGCCAAAGAAATCCAGCTAGATGGAGAGGTGACACGCAAACAAAGAGATCCAAAATCAGATTTAGATCCTTCAGACCGAATAAGGTTTCACCTTTGGTGTCTTAATTACCATAACCAGTGGAAATAATAAAAAAATGGTTAATATGACACGGAGGTTATGGGCCAAACTATGCTGAGTCAGGCAGTTCAGAGTCAGCTGCTATCACTCCATCCTTAGTTCATCCTGCTTGGTGCATATGAGCCTTAGGGCAGAGGTTTCACAACAGTCTGCTGACAAGCACCATGCTAAAACTGAAGTAGTGCCCAGGTGCAGAACTAGTGCTTTTGAATGTGTCACTAACTATTTGTGGGAGTGTTTTCATGGGGTCATCTTTAAGAATGCTGAGGAATGTAAAATTGTTGCAGAAGAAAACTTTTTTTTTTGCCTTCAAAAATTTCTTTTAATAATTAGTCATAATAAATAATATTTTGTGCCTCTGTAATTTCTTGTCTAGGCATTTCAAAGCTTCTGATATAATGAAACTATTATTATCATCAAATCCAAGAGGGATTCTACAGCTGCATTTTTGTGAGAGCAGGATTGGGCTTCTTAGCCAGGAACAGTGGCTTTATGGTAAAGGCAAACAAGTGGGAATCCTGAAAACTGTTTATAATCCCAGTTTTGCCACAGACTTGCTGGGAGAGCATGTGGGCTGGGAGAAGTGGCTTTCTGTGCTGCAGTTTTCCCCATCTGTAAAATGGGGCTAATAATACCTACCACACAGGAGGATTATGAGGATTAATTAACATTTGTGAAGGATTTTGAGATCTTGGCAAGGAAGTAGCTATAGTAATGCAGAGTATTAAGATATGTCTAAACTACAGAAATTATACTGGCATAGCTATGCTGACGTTCAAGGGTGAGGGGATGTTTTCCGTTGGCATGTTGATGGAAGCTCTCTTCCGTTGACATAGCTGAATCCATACTGGAGTTTCGTCAGCATCGCTATGTCGGTCAGGGATGTGGGTTTTTTTCCCTGTAGCTATGCCCATATCACGTTCAAGTGTAGACCAAGCCTTAGTCATTCCAAATTCAGCTCCACAAGTCAGGTCCCATTTTCACAGTACAAATAAAAGTTCTAAAACTCACCACTGGCTGAAAATAGGGCACTGCTTTGGTTATGAGGTGCTGCAATATTGATCATCTTATGGAATCCCAGGCTGCGTGTCTCTTCTTTTGGGCCCCAACAAATGGATACAACACTATACACTCCTTTTCTGTCTGACTGCTGAGTATCCCAGAAGCTCTTTTAACAGATCTGGTCACTCCATGGGCACAAACAACTGGAGCTGGTGATGTCTTACAACACACAAGGGTCACGGTCCAAATCCTGAGTTCCAGCTCTCCAATGCCACATAGCGGATGGAGCCAGTGAGGGTGTGAGGAGCCAGAGCTCTGGAGCTGGGTTTTTAAAAAATCCAAAATTTAGCAACTTTTCAATAAAATGTGGCACAACTTTTTCACAAAAATGTGTCCCCTTTTTTCAGCCAGCTCTAGTTGAGTACACTCCAGGCAGTGAGGGAGGGGCAGGACAAGGGCAGGACTGCTATGCCATGAAGCTCCAGTCCTAGCTGTGGCATTTTTTTGTCTGTGTACAAGTCACTATGTTAAGAAGACGTTCATCATTTTAAAAGAGTTGGCTGACCCAGCTGGGTTCAGAGTCAGGTTGTCCATATGTTTATAAATGATCTAGAAGAGCCAGTAATATATGTACTACTGCAAAATTACTTGTTAGTAAATAGTATGGTGGCTTGTGAAGTACTCCAAACATAGCTGTTAAAACTGGGTGATTAGGCAATGTGATACCAGATGAAATTTAGCAGAGACAAGTGAAAGGTAATATGCATTAGAAGGTATACGTTAACCTACTTGTAAACAACATTGATTTCTGAATTATTGCAACTTCTCCGCACAGAGCGTTAAGCATCTGCATGGACAGCTCAGTGAGAACATCTAGTCATCGTGGATCATTGCTTAAAAAACAAAGGGAATAGGTTGCTGTGAGGAGAGAACAAAGAATAATAATAAGAATATTGTAAGGTCAGCATATGCATTGATGGAACACCCTCCCCTTGGATACTGTACTGAATTTTGATACAATCATCTCAACAAAGACAGGAAAAACTCCTGAGAGACACAGTGAAAGTGACTGGAGTCATGGGGAAGATTCCTTTCGAGGAGAGAGGAAAAATCCTGGGGTCACTGAGAGCCAAATCCTACTCACTTTACTTACATGACAGAATTATCTGTGTGAATAAGGTGATCTGAGTCTGGCTCTTTGTTTGGAAAGGCCAAGGGACAGAACACAGAAGTGTAGGATTCATACAAAGTTTATGCGCTTGGCAACATTCAGGGCACACCCGGAGTGTTGTATAGGAGCTGTGCACACACAGCTCTTCTCAAGGGCATGAACCTTGGAATCTCGCCCAGATGACATGAACCGTGGGAAGCCTCCCAGGACTGGGCTCAAGGCCCGAGAGCAAGGAATGCGGTAGATAGAAACTGGTAAATAAGAATGTTAAACAAAGCCAGTGTATTCCTTTTATCTGTTGGAGAATGTAATGCGCGGGGGGAGAGAAAGAATAAAGGGGAAGGTGGAAAGCTGACAGTCAGAAGCCCGTTAGCAGACCAGCTTGCTTGCTTGCTTAAAGCTCTGTGCTGTCTTGTCATTGAACTGCAACACAGAAGGTATGAAAGAGGGATATAAAATGATAGAGAAGGTCAACTGAGTGCTCCTATTAACTCTGTTCCGGTGAGTATTATTATATAGTCAGCGGGTGTGAATTGACAGAGCTGGATTTGGCCCAAAGTGCTTTAAAGACACTTGGAATTTTGCAGCTTCAGACCCAAACCCTCTATTTGACGTACACACTTAGAAATGTGAGTAGCTTGATTCAGGAACAGTCTTAACTGAAGCAAATAGGAAAAAACTCACATGACTATAATAACTCCCATGCAAAAGTATGGGCAGGATCAGGCCATAGATGCAATAAGTGAGAGCTGCTGGGGGTAAAAGTTGGGAAACCGAGTCACAAGTCCACCCAATTTAGGCTTAATCAATTTTCACCTTTATTTTGTACAAGTTCAGACAGTGCCTGGCCGTACACGTGTGCCAGACAAATAATAACAGACATTCTGGGGCAGTGGGAGTCCTTCCACCATCCATGATAGTTGTCATCTTCTTTTATTCCCTTGTGTGGTCTTTCAGTCACATTCTTCAGTTTCTAGTCCGGTTTGGGCCCAAGTTCACTTAGGTCCTTTATACATTTCTACATTAATTCATCTTTATCCAATTGGCTTTTAGGATATCAGCCCTTTGGGTTTTAGGTAACCTGTATATTATGCATGCTCAAGCTTCAATTATCTAACTTGTGCGTTTTTCCGGCAGGTTTTGCAGTTTCTGGGTCACGTTAATGTATGCCACCCTGCCACTCCCAGAGAAAGTGGGTGTTTATTTATTATTCCCTGTCTGTGTATCTTTTACTTACATCTTCTAACACAACATCTTACTTTTGGTCTGTCAGTAATGACATTTTAAGCAGATTAGCAATTCTATATAAAAGAAGAATTGGCAAAACCACACTTATGCCAGCAAGGACTTGGCCTAAGTGTTCTCAGCTGTACTCATTCACTATCCATAACTACAAATTGTTAACATATAACTAAGAAAACTTTTAATTTTACCATTAACAATTCTTCCTTATATTTCAATGTTATAAGTCATTCTGTGCTATCCTTGATGGGTTAGAAAGGAGAGGAGGCGTTAAAGAAAACATGATGATTCTTTAATGTTAACATTTCTTATCTTCCTTAAAGATGGGTTTTTCATTCAAATTCCAATTTTGTTTATGCATCATTACAAAGAAACTTCATTAGAAATTTTCCTGTGAATACATTTTGAGGGGTGTCTCAATTTAGTTGCTATTAACGGTACCCCAACAGAACCAAAAACAATAGCAGCAAGAAGGGAAGAGTAATATAATTAGTTATGCAGTCCAGTAATGGGCACAACTTGAGTATATGAAATGATTAGTTAAAAAAATAAAAAGCCCTCTGCCTGGTTCTTTTATTTATTTATTTTTTTGGTAATTTATAAACCTCCGCCTGTTTCCCGCTTTCTTAAAATTAAGTTTCAAACCTGTCTCTTTCTCTCTATTTTATATCACAGAAACAGAGTGCAAAAGGGCATGCAATAAAATGAAAAGGTAAGCAGTATGTACGTAAAAACAATCAGGCTACAAATATTTCGTAGAGCTTGGCAGGTAAGATGCTGTAAAGAAGAAATCGGAGTACATGCATAAGGCCTCGTTCTGCTCTCAGCTATTTTATACCTGTATAACACCACGGACTTCAACTGATTTATGCTATGTCTACACTACAGCCACTAGAGTGGCACACCTACAGTGCAACAGGTGTAGCATAGAGGCTTCCTGCATCGATGGAAAGGGTTTTTCCTTTCATGTAGTTAATCTACCCCTCTGAGCAGTGGTAGCTAGGTTGACAGATCTCTTCCCTTGACCCAGCTATGTCTACACCAGGCCATGTCTACACCATGTCTACACCTAACTACAGTGCTCAGTGTGCAAAATTCTTCACAGCCCTCAGCAACATAGCCAGGTTGATATAATTTCTGAGTGTAGATCAGGCCTCACATTGGTGGAAGTGAGAGCAGGATCAGATGCTGAGGTTGGCTTTTACATCATGGTTTATATCTCAACAGCAAGATGATAAATGGTTTCACACTAGTTTTGGAGAAATCACCCTAAATCAAATTGATTGAACAAGTGTATGGTGCTTTTATGGCAAGTGTGAGTGTAACGACAAGCCATGTTTGGAATTGTGAACTGAATGTTTAAAGCCAATGCCTGATAAGTTGCTCCCTGGCAGTTTGATTTGTGATTCACATTGCACAGTCCCCAAACCATGCCCCTCTCTATTTATAAATTCATGCCTTGCTATATCTGACTTGTTAAATAAGCATTCCAAAGTGTGGATGGGACTCTGGTGGTATATTATAGGACCTAGGAAATAATTTAGAAGAGTAAGTGTAATTATAAAAGGCACAGCAAATCTGTGCAAATATTCCTTCTTCCTAGCTGTGTTTTGTCATTGTCACAGTACAAATTGCACATGTTTTAGGAGAGAGGGTGAAAGTGAGGTTAATCCGTGAAAGCATCCCTGTAAAGTCAATGATACTTGAGGCAAAGTAGCCACCAGACCATGCCCCCTAGTGGTTATATGTGGCTTTGCAAGAGGTGTGCTTCAGTTTCCTCAGTGTCTTCTCTGGCCTATTTTGGTTGTTTAATGACCTGACTGTCCAACCAAGTCAGGTAACAGAGTCCAGCCCTTTGCATGGCCTCAAAGCCCTTCACTTAAAGTCTGATAGAAAACAGCAAAACAACTAAATCTTCAGCCCAGCTGGTAGGTATCTTGTTTGCAAGTTAGCCCCAGCTTCAAGCCATCCCAATACCAGTCCCAGTTCCTGGGTTTCACTCCCGCTCCCAGGGCCTGTCACACACTCTCTCTCTACCCCAGGTTTCAGGTGGGCTGTAGTCCCTGATCAGCCCCTGTGTGCAGTCAGGCTTCAGCTGTCACCTGTTGAGCTGACCTAAACTTCAGCTTTAGGCCCATGAGCTCTCCCCCAGCAGTACTGGTGATAGGGCATGGAGCTTCACAGGACGTGACAGGTGGGTGGCTGAGTGCTGAGGGGTGCTGCAGGAGAGCTAGCTGTGGAGGGGAAAAGGTGGGACAGCTTGGTTTGGGGGGAGAGGGAGAGGTCTGGGAAGAAGATGGAGGCAGCTGACAGAGAAATTGTTTGGGTGGAGGCTGCTGGGAGAAGCAGGTGCTATAAGGGAAGTTGGGATCTGTGGAGGGCACAGAGAAGCTGGGGGTAGCTAGATTAATAGGGTAGAAATGAGAGAAACTCCAAGGAGTTGGCGCCTATGCCTGCAGGCTCTTCTGCTGCTCTGCCTGCCACGCCAAGAGGGACTGCCTTTCAATGTGGTGGGATTGCTGGAAGGTCTGCATCGTCTTTTGCAGCTCCAACTGCTGCAGAGCCTGCTCCATGTCTGGATGCTGAATCTTCACCAGCTTCCCCCCATTAATTTTCACTCACCATGTGTTGGGGGAAAAATCAAGATCTTGGACAAGCTCCCACTTGTGACAGGACACATGCCCCCACTCCATCCATCCTTGGCTACCCCAGGAATTGCTCAGACTCTGTTCTTTTAGTGTTCACTAGGTATAATTAATTCAAGTCTCCTCCAGCCACACCTGTACAGAGCAACACGACAGTCCTAATCCCTATGACCTGCAGCCCCTATTCATCAGGGCCCTGGGATGCTATGAGAGTCTCTTTCTTGGAATCTCCTTCAATCCAATTCAATCTAATCTAATTCAGACCAGCCCTCCCCTTAATGCTGTCTTCCTACCTTTTATCCAGCTCGTCATCTGACGAGCTACTTAATTCCTTTGCTCACCCAGCTTCCTTCTCTGAGTAGCTAATTCCTCCCGATTTTCTCAATCAGCCGTCAAAATTAATGGAGACTACAGCTATCAGTGTACTGACCCATCCACTAGACCTCAGCAGTCTGTCACACCTTTACATCCTCTCCTCTCCCTTCCTTTATCTTTCTATTTAGCTATTGCTGCCTCCTTAATGAAACCTCAACCAATTAATCATGGCACTAATATATGCTGTTTTCAACCTATTATTCTGTTCCCCCTGCTGATATGTTCTGTTCACTTCCTCTACCCCATGTCCTTCTTGTCTATTTAGGCTGTAAGCTCCTTGGGGCAGAGACTGTCCGCAATTCTGTGACTGCACACCGAGACATATGATTCCCTGGTGACTCACTTATGCCAAGACCACAAGGGCATAATTTTCAGTATAGTTATATTATTCCTTAAATATTATTCACACATACATCTCATACTGATTGTGAGTACTGATAAGTTACACGCTTTCAGTAGAGACCTCACATATTACCCCTCATGGATAAATACCATGAAAGTGGTGTATTAGGTGTAGTGAGTTTTTTCAGGTCTGAGACAGGAGTTGCTTCAACTTGCTTGTGAAGTTCAGTGAACCCTTTGCCAGTTGGCACCAATGGGCCTTTGTGTTACACGTAGGTACTCCACAGTTGCCAACTTTCACGTGGTAAATAAGCACCCCAACTTTCACAATAAGCCAAAATTCAAGCTAATCCCATTTCAAAACAAGGCCAAAACAAGCCAATCCCTAAGAACCCCAACACTCTATGTGACTAGATCCTCCCGGCGTGCAGTCTGGGACTGTGGTTGGCCCACTGTGCACCCCTGACTCTCTTCCCCTCTTGCCCCTGCTTGCCCCCACTTGCCCCTGCTTGCCAGGAACCGATTAAAAAAAAAAGAAGCAACAAGCTACAAGCTAAAAACTAGCCAACAAGCAACTCACAAGCTATTAAATCTAACTATACAACTAGTAAGTCTTTGTGCTGGTATCCTTCCATAGGAAAATTGTTTCAAACTTCACATCATTTGATGTGATCTGGCTCAGACCAAGGGCAAAAAATATCCCTCTTGAGAGGTCTTTTATTTGAGCTAGGAATAATAGCCTTCCTTGGCAAAAATAGTTTTGCAATGCCTAGGGAGAGGAATAAACTATTTATCTCTGACATTTATAAAGCACCCATCATTGTAGTATCTGCACCAGAGGCAGGGAAAATCTCCCCCATCAGCTGGAATGCTCTATATAATTACTACAGTAAAATATTCCATGCATTTTTACCATCATTCTACTGTATGAGCTTTCTTGGAGACATGAAAGAGGAGATTATCTCCTCAGGAGTAAAGAATACATGAGCTAAAGTGGTTGCTTTATTTAAAAGTCACACTTTATCTTTATTGCATTCACATTAGACTTAGTAAAAAAGCTGCCCTTGATCCTTATGAAAGGAAGGATATATAAGCCATATAATGAAAATAACATGCAGGCAGCATAGTGACAATGTCATTAATGCAATAGGAACAATTCTTTCTGTTTTACACTGGCTGCTCTCCAGACTGAAAGTGCCAAGCGGGACAGTGACATTAAATAACTTTATAAAGATGTGGTTGAACATTAGCCCCTCCTTTCTCAGCTGTAGTCTTTTAGCTTTTTCTGGGCTTTAGAGTGACTGGATCCAAAATGCTGACAGCACCTTATGAGATGGAACCCTTGGTCAGCTCTTGGTCTCACCAGGGCAAGTAAAACCATTGGAGTGGAAAAAAATCAGAGACCTCTTTAGGGACCCTGATTAGAGCCTCCAGGCTATTAAATCCCATCTGTTTCTCTCTCACTCACACACTGTGTTCCAGCCTCTCGGATCAGCAAGCCCCGCTCCGCATGTCTCCTTTGTACTGCTGGCCTGTCTGTTTATAACCTCTGGGGACCCTGAAGCAGTCAGGTATGATGTCCTTGTGCCATTATTAGCCATGGAGCCTTATGCTGTATTCACACAGCTAAAATTTTTGCACAGATGTCAGAGCTTGGAGCTGAAATTACCTGCTCTTTTATTAAACTGATAAGAACAGGTTTTAAAATTTTATTAAGTCGATGTTTAAAAAAAAAGTGAATGGTACAGAGTTTAAGCGTAGAAGTTTCTGGTTATCAGGGAATAACGTACAGATTATCAAGGGGAGTGAAGTTCAGTTTAAGATTGGATGGTGTAAGGAATACATAATCTGCAATATCCGCAATTGGGGGTAAAAGGTTAATGGGTCAAAGTACAGACATTGAGGTATGAGGGTATGTTGTTCATATAATGGCTATGTTCAGGTGTGGAGTATAATGAGTGGATACGATGATGACGATTGACTCTCATTTGGTAAGATTTAATGTTCAGTGAGTTTATGGTTCCAGTTCATATGGTCCAATGGAAAAAGTCTCTCGGTCCCTTCTCTTTACTTTTATCTCTTGGCCAAATTAGTCCCCGGTGGAATGTCAATGGAGTTACACCCAGAGTTCATCTGGCCCTCTCTCACTCTCTACTGGAAAATTGTGGGGTTTTTTGTTTTCCAGTAAGTACTCTTCATTATCTCTCTTCTTTGTTCTTCCTTGGTGTTCTAACTAGATAACGTTAAAAAAGAGCCCAAGTCTAGCCAGGTTTGTGATTTGGTGGCTTCACAAATGGAGCTGGGGGAAGACAATCATCCGGTACTGGAAGGCAAATGGCTACCACCCCCCCCCCTGACCTTGTTGAGCCCCAGCCCTTCCAAGGGAAGCCAAGACAATGGAGGTATGAATAGATAATCTAGTGACAGGTGCTTGAAAAGCCTGTGATAACCCTGCATTGAGCAACCACAGGTATGAGCTGTGGGAAGGGGCTTGCAAGTGAAGTTGTGCAGAACTGATCTGGTTGTTGGCTTATTTTGGCTGGTGTAATGTCTGAGCAGAGACATTCTCCTCCAAGGTACCATCACTTGTTGTGCTAAAGCAAATCTGCTTGTTCGGTAAGAAGCCACCTCTATGCTAGGATCTCTGCCATGCAGGGGATATGGATAAACATGGTAGCCCTTGGTGTACTTCTGTCCTTCAGTGCTCATGAGACTGATCCATGTCCCCAGAGCCTTAAGCATTGCAGGGCTGCAGTCTGGCCTGTTAAATGGGAGAATCTAAAGGGAGTTCTTCTGAGCCCCATGTGTTAACGGGGCCCCAAGGCAAAGCATTATTGTGGGTGGGAGCTTAACTCCCCCTCCGCAACGAATGTCTGGATTATTAGACTATGCCTTAAATGGCTTTCAGTGGGTCCATCTCCGTCCTTGTATACCAGTCCTGCCCAAGCACATCAGTCAGTGCCAATGCGGAATTTTTCCTGTCCGATAGGTGTTCCATGGACCCACAGACTGGCTAGTGTGAGTGCACCAGTCCCTCGCTGGATGAACTGAACTCTCAGCTTTCTGAATGGGAGATGGCTCGACTTTGGAATTTCCTCCATCTTCCTCCTTGTGCGCCCTGGAATGGGCAGGAGGAGTGCAGTTCAGGGGCTGAAATGAGCAGAGACACCCCAGGGATGGAGTCCTACTTGCTCCAAGTGGTCTGTGCTTGTGAAATGTGTCCACTGTGCTCTGAACAGGGGCTTGTCTGGATCTGTCCTCCCTGACAGGAACTGGAATGCACTTCACTCCACTCTGGCTGCAATGATTTAAGGGCAGGACACCCGGGCTTATTCCCATCATGTCTCACCTATCACCCTGTGGAACAGGGATTTCCCTTGCTAGCCGGGGGCACAGCAGCCCTTCTCAGGGAGGGGAAGGAGTGACTCCTCCTGTGTGGAATCCTTAACAGGACCAAGGCTCTCAAGGCACTCGCTTCTGGCTACAGATGTTTAACAATTAGCACCACCAACCAGAAATGTGCCTGCAATATTCATTTCACTGCCAAGCATGTGCCTGGTGTAACAGCGGCATAGCCAACGCTCTCTCAATTGCCAGTCGGGAGATTCTGAGCACTAGCACTGGAGGCCAATGATGTGCCAGAACAGAGGCCGGCAGCCCTGTGGAATTTCAGTTGCTAGAAGCAGTATCCATGGCCAAGGGAGCAATTGCACCATGCACCGGTTTAGCATATACAACGGCGTGGGAGGAGTTTCAGGGGGGCTGAGGGTCTACCACAGCCTGGCCTATCCCAGAACCCCAAATCTGGCAGTTGATGGTTTTGCTATAGCTAATCAGTTATCCAGGGTGGCCTTTTACTGCAGGTCTGCAGGTCATCCAGAGCCCTATCAGGAATTCATGATCCGAAGAATGCGAGAGGGGTGGGCCTGGGCTGCCAGGATGTGCAGCAACGTTAGAAAGACAGTGACCTTGCAGCTCCTTGGGTAGGGTGGCTGGGTGCCCGGTTTTTGACTGGAAAGTCCGGTTGAAAAGGGGACCTCAGTGTCCGGTCAGATCTACTAACTGGACACTTGGTTACTGCGGGCGGGGAAGGTGTGGAGGTGCCAAGTCATCATGCGTTCCAGCCCCTACTCAGCTGGGGCCATCTCCTACCTTTGTCAGGCAGCTGCAGCTCGCAGCCCCGGCTCTGCAGGCAAGTCCCTCCAGACCCAGGCAGAGGTTGGGGGAGGGAGGGGAAGAGTAGTGAGTGAAACGGAGAGGGGGAAAGATGAGTGAATGGGGCAGGGCATCAGGGGAAGGGGTGGGGCAGGAGTGAGGCCTGGGGAAAGGGGCAGGGTCTCAGAGGGAAGGGGCAGGGAAGGGGAGGTTCCAGGACTCCTGCTGGAGTGTCCAGTTTTTAAAATCTCACAAAGTTGGCAACTCTATCCTTAGGCAATTAGTTGAAGTTCTTCCTCAGGTTTTCCTTTCAGGGGGTGAGCCTGTACTCTTGAAGGCAGCCTTTCTGTTGGCTTTCTCTGGGGCCTTCTGCGTCAGTGAGGTGTTCCCTTCAGCCAGAGGAGACTCTTCAGGGCAGGCTCTCGAACTATAAGACATGCAGCGGGAAGGTGATTCTCTATGGCTCAAGGTCCACAGATCAAAAACCAATCGGATGGGGGTGGGTGAGGCTGTTGCTTTGCACTGCTTTGGTGAGGGGCACCTTTGTCCTGTATGGGCAATATGGGCATATCTGGCTCAGTGGTCACCCAGTGAAGGTCCCCTGTTCCTGCCTGGGGGACTACTCCTTCCAAACCAAATTCCAGTTTGTGGGAGTGTTTAGGAAGGGACTGTCATTCTCGAGCTTGCCATTGGGATAGTATTGCTCTCACTTGTTCCGTATAGGAGCTACAACAGCGGCTACCCAGTCAGGTCTGGGGCATCAGAGGCCCTGGCTACAGGGTGTGGGTGATCCAGAGTTTATAAATCCTACGTGCAGCTACCTGAGGGGAGGCCGACACAGGTGGGGGCCATAAGCACCCCATGTTTTAACCAGATCTGCTTCCTTCCCCATGTCTATCCTAGAGAATGTATTGGAGCATGCCTATGGGTGAGGACATGGATTTGTGGGCACAGCGCTGTGCACTGGGCTTACAAGAGATGTAATGTCATTCAGCAAGGGGCTTGCAGCTGGGCTTCAGGCTGGTGCGAATTTTGTCTTGGTGCAGCAGATGGAGCATACATTGGGACCAGCTCATGCCTCCTTTGCATGGGCTGATGCCCCATGAGTACACACCAGACATCAGTGTTAGCACCTAGGGGGGGACAACCTGAGAATATGCTCCGGGCTCCAGCTGATTTGGAAGTTCTAAGCAGGCTATTGGACTGCGGGTGGACATGGTTTCCTGGCGTGGGGATAGTATAGCTGGCACTATCAGCTCACAGGTTTGGCAGACAACCCATGGCAATCCACCCATGGAAAAGGTGGATAGGGCCTGATGGAAGCCAACTGGAAAGTAGTGACGCAGCTGGAGTCCTGAAGTGGCTCAGGTTAAAGCCCAGAGTGTGGCTGAGCTTTACCGAGAGGACGGAGTGCACCTGTAGGTGCTGATTTGTTCCTGGATGATCTTGATATTGGGTTGGACGAATTTCTGGGTAGCCCCTGCAAGATGGGGTGGAGGCAGCCAAGCTGCTGCTGGTTCCTTCCCATGGCCAGTGCCCAGCACAGGAACTCAGTGATTTAGCTTCCAGATCCAATAAGGTAACATAGTGGGCATCCAGGGGGCACCTCCTTATGAGCTTGGGGCATTGTATCTAACCCCCTGAGGGCAAATGTGAACCAGGGGCTGGGGGGACCAATACACTTGAGAGTGGTACTGGCTGGGGGTTGAGGCCCCCTCTTGCCTTGACCCCCCCAAGGGGGGAGGGATGCTAGTGGAGACCCTCCTAGTGTGATGATTGGCTCCCCATGTGGTGGGAGCCCCCAAGAGTTGGGAAAGGATCAATGGGGTGTGAGTGACTGTGTGGGGCTGTCCCCCAGTGGGCCCCTGGATGTAATTTGACTTATAAAGTTGCAGCCTGGCTAAAACCCATATCACGTGTCCTTGCCTCCTTCCACGCAGTGAGCTCACCAATGAGCAAACCCAATTTAGGAACGTCAGACACAGATGTGTTCTTGTGTGAAAAGCAATTGCACTGTAGATGTTGTCACCTATGTCTGTAACTTTAGTATTAATGAGTGTAGTTAATTATCTCTGGGTCAGCAAGGCAAGGGCCCCATAATGTCCTAGGCACAAACATGATTGTATAATGCTTTGCACTTCCATAAATGCCTTTCAGTCGAGTCTCATAGTGCTTTGGAAAGACTAATGACTTAACACAATCTCCCTGTGAGGGAAAGTGGTATTATCACCCTTTTCATTGCCACTCTTCTTGCATCATCAGCTGCTTAAAGCAGAAGTCAAACAACGCCAATCATCCCTACCCAGGGCTCATTTTTCCAGGTCTTTTCTGTTCCTCTTTTACAGATGGGAAAATTGAGGCATGGAGAAGTTTAGCCACTTTCCTAATGTTACAAAAGCCTGTGACAGAGCCAGGAATAGAACCCAGCTCTCATGACGCCCAATTCTGTGCTTTAGCTAAAAGCCCATCCAGCTCCTTGGTAGCTGCTAGTGAAATGGGCAGTTCACATCTGTTTGTGGATAATGCTTAGCTTTACCTTACACCTCAGATAAATATGTATGAGAACGACCTCTTCTTGCTCTTTAAACTGAGCTTCTCTTTAGATCAATGTCTGTTATTTCTTGAATTCTCTACACGAAGCGCTCCCCGACTGAAGCCATTTGTTTCTAGTATAGCTTTCAAGTGAATTCTGTGCCAGAAGGGAAGATATCAGTTTGACATGCTCCAGGGCAAAGTCCTCTCTGCTTCCGCAGAACAGGTACTGATCCAGCATGGGCAAGCTTTTCTCCTCTTCTGAAGGGGAGCACCTCTGGGAGCCAGAAAACATTTTAATTCTCTGTGCTTATTGAGTTCTAGGTCTCCCTGCTGAGTAGGGTGACCAGATGTCCCGATTTTATAGGTACAGTCCCGATATTTGGGGCTTTTTCTTATGTAGATACCTATTATCCCCCACCCCCTGTCCCAATTTTTCACACTTGTTATCTGGTCACCCTACTGCTGAGGCTCCTCAGCAAGGTTACCAGTTGTGGTAGGGGGCTTGGTGACCACCAGCTCATTGCACACAGGTCAGCAAACACACTTCAAGGGTGGGACTGGGCCTCAGACTGTAACAGTTTTTGGTCACTAGTGGTCTAGGCTGGATTCAAACCAGCTACTTAGAGATGAAAGGTTTTATAATTCAAGCCCCCAAAGCTATCCAGTTCCTGCTGCTGGGTAAATACCTCACAATAAACAATGGGTTTCAGAGTAGCAGCCGTGTTAGTCTGTATTCGCAAAAAGAAAAGGAGTACTTGTGGCACGTTAGAGACTAACCAATTTATTTGAGCATAAGCTTTCGTGAGCTACAGCTCACTTCATCGGATGTAACTGACAAATGTCAGATCTGTCTCATCACAAATTGTTCATGAATATAGCATGATTTTGTCAAACATATTTGTTACTCAAAATCATTCTTCCAAGAATCCTTTGTGGACACCTCTCCAACATTCCTTGGGAGAATCGAGCATCTGAAATTAATCTGTCTTTCATTGGACATGCAAGTCACATGATATATATCTCTTCCCTGAGTGGAAGAGTTTTTAAATTTCAGAATCAAACCTCTGGAACCAATGTGTGTGATCACAAATTTGAAATTTGCTTTCCATGAGGATATTGCAGCTTCTGCAACTGTCACTGCTTTTGTGATCATTCTTGTTGGGAGACTAGTTTGCTAGAATATTTGTACGTAGAGAATGCAAAAAGGGCACAAACATAGCTGAGGTGAATTCATTAAAAATGTGAACAGATAGTCATAGAAAACTTATTGCAGTGTTTGATCAGTGCTATTTATAACATGTCTATCTTTCTATGAGCAATTATGCTGCCTGTGTAGACTTTTTTCATCACTAAGAAGGCAAGGCTCATGACAAGATATAGAAACCTTCACATGAATATATTCGGGCAGAGAGCAACTTGTAATATTGTATGTGAGCCCTCTCTCCTTCACCTAAACGTAGGTCTCCTGTTTAATTATAGCACTAGAGCTGGAAAAGAACTATTAGGTCATCTAGTCCATCCCTATGCCAGGGCAGGAACTGTACCAGTACAACCTCTTAGTATTCTGAGTAATGCTATGCAATAGGCCAAAAAAGCCAATGTCAAGTAATGCTAACTTCATAGCAATGCTGATAGACATCAGAAGCCTCCACAATAGCCCTATCCAGACTGAAACGGCAACTAGCAAGCCACAGATATATGTTTCACCCTTCTTGGGGCTCCCTGGCATCCTGCAGCTGTTGTCTCAGTCACACAGACGCTGTCAGGCTGAACACGTAGGTTAGGAACTCCGACTAAACAGAAGACTTTGGAAGGCAGAACTGCAAAGCTGATGAACTGTAGGAGTAGGAGCGCTTAGCGCATGCAGGCAGCCAGCCAGCCGGGATCTTGATAAACCCAAAAGAAGATACACTCTAAGACTTTAATCTTCTGTTCTAGTAGCATTTTTCCAGACTGTTAGTCAAGCCAAATGACTGATTTAGTGCCTCTCTCTAGCTACAGATATACACATACATCTGCGGACTCCAAAGAGTTAAAAATAAAGCCCACCCCTTTGTGGCTCATTTCATGTCCATTTAAAGGTGTGACATGCTTTCCATTCTAATACTCCTCTGCCAGATCTGAGGAAGCGTCTTAGCAATGGCATTTTGATCAAGATCTTTTTATGATTTAAAAAAAAAGAAACAATATGTATGTAGGATAGTGTCCCTTCCAAAGGTTGTTTCTGCAGGAGTGTGTTTGCCATCCATTTGTCTTGTTTTAAACTGGGAAATAAACTGTGTTTGCCAGCACATTTCCGGTTCTCTCCACTGCTACATGTGTGGTGCCTGCTATGCGGTCAATTAGAGACATTGGCACACATTCAGGAGGTAATTATTTTATGCATCTCCGCTGATGGTATAGCAAGACAGGGTCTTTTTGCTGTTTTATACAACAATGTGAACCTTTTCCATTATAGATTTTGCCCTTTTGCACCTTTCTCCAGTCACAGACCTCTGCCTTGTTCCTTTTTGGTGCTTTAGCACAGTGAATATTTGTTCAGATAATTGCTGTCAGTTCCTGCAATCAATTATGTCTTCCTCGGGCTGTTTGGTGGTAAATTGTACTTGGTATAACCAAAATGAACATGCAATACCCAGGTATTGTGTAAAGAGTCTTTCAAACAACGTGTCTCCTGAGAGTTAGCAGAAGGAACTTTAGGTTTGTCTTCACTGCAGCGTTAACTCTGGTGATCGGCACCTGGCGTAGCCTCATCTGGGTGAGTGGCCACACTGCAATGCCACTCTTGAGTTATTGCGTCCTCACTGGTGCCGCATTCCCCCATATGACAGGTTTCAGAGGAACAGCCGTGTTAGTCTGTATTCGCAAAAAGAAAAGGAGGACTTGTGGCACCTTAGAGACTAACCAATTTATTTGAGCATGAGCTTTCGTGAGCTACAGCTTACTCCTTTTCTTATTCCCCCATATGTATCTGTTATCCTAAGCACCCCTCAGGATAACAGATACCTACATGCTGTGGTAATAATCTTTGTACAAAATATGCCTTGTGAGGTATCACTGGAAAAATAATAACTCACCACCCATTAATACTCTTGCATGATGGATGGATGTGGTGTGCATTAAGAGTTATGGATGTATGCTGCAATGATGACTAAATGTGTTTAAAACAGGCAAGTCAGGGGAAGTTGGTAAACCGAAAGGAATGTATTTGCTTTTCTGTCCAGCTGGGTCACCGGGCAAAGACAGTGAAGGTACATTTACATATCAGGTAAACAAAGCTATCAAGCTAACAAATAGGGGAGGAGACAGCAGGGTGTCTACATACTGCATGAGAGAGAAGCTTGGTCTGGGTTTGCTTGTGATAGACTGTATTGCAAAAGTGTACTGGTTTATAAAGGGGCTTGGCTGATCCTCAAGTGATAAGCAATTGAATCAACTGATTGGATACAATATTACTTTATTATAAAAGTGTACTGAGTGAGGTATTTTATGTAAACCTATGACACACTGGTGATATCATAAAATATATTAACACTATATAAAGAATTATAGATCCTCATTGATATTAGGCTTTACAGTCTGTGTCTGAACAAAAGGGAGAAACAGGTCTCCCCAGACAGGAGGGAAGGCAGCTATCTAGCTGTCTCCAATGAGCAAGGTATGACCAGAAATAATGGAAGCCCTATTTACATACAGGGAGATGGGAAGCCAACAAGAAGGGAAAAACAGCATAAGATCATCATGCCTCTTGAAATAAGGTCATTGAACTTTGGAAGATATAAGCAAAGACAGAAACGCTCTTTGGCATTGATAACTAGACATACACAAGGGAACAGAGCTCTTACAAACTGAGAAAGATGGATCCTTCAGGTAAGGGGTGGAGGTTTGAAGTCTGGAAACTGAAAATAGGTGAGAAACCTGCTGTGGCAAAGATCTTTCACCTTGGAAGACAAAGGGAAGCCAGCCTCTTGTGCTTCTGTGGAAGGTCCTGACTGAGGGAAAGTCAGCCATGGCTGGGAAGAAGAATGATTGGTGAGAGAAACCATCTTGAACAAAGCCTGCACCTTGCTGGATTACCTTTCACACTTTGAAATGCATGTTTTCACTTTTATTTGCTTCTTACCCTTTCTAAGATTATTCCTTTTACTTGGCATCACTTAACCTAAGTCCTACTGTTAATACATTTGTTTTATTTTTACTATAAACCAACTCAGTACTGTGTGTGAAGGGAAGGGTGTATTTACCCCAGTGACGTTAATAAGCTGTAATGTGCTTTTGTCTCTTCTCTGAAGTGTCCAGCCCTCTCCTGGACTACTCAGGGCACCTGGTTTGGGGAAATTCAGGACACGGAGTGTGTTGGGGTCACCTTGCTGGTTGTAGCCAAGACTGGTGGAAGCCAGGGTGGGACTGTGAGGCTGTAGACAGACTGTTGGGGTCAGAGCTGCTGAACCAGGAATGGCTGCATAGCACACAGACACTCAGGGTGTAACCTGCATTATTGTTGCTGACTGTGAGTGTCCTAGGCAGAGTGCTACAGCAGCAAGGCATTGTGAGGTGCCCATGGTTGCAGGGAAAATGGTGACAAAACCCCCCACTGGTCTGGATTACACCCCTCAAACTCTGTTATGGCATCACTAGGACTTCTGGAGGCACATCCCATGGTTCTCTGAGCTTCACGAAGCTGAGCCACTCTGGTTCTTTCCCAATGAAGTGTGGGAGAACTTGTCTTTCCTGGGCACCTGGAGGGAATTGTGGGAAGGCACTGAAAGACACTCAGCACTCCAGTGATTTAGCATGTATCCTCACTGCCAAGTGGGTGGGTTATCAACCCAAAAGTAAATGGCAGGGGCACTGTAGCCTATAACTCCAGCCATGCCAGCTAGCGTGGATTGAAAGCACCACCAAACTTGAGTGATAGGGGTTTTTTGGTGTGGATGGAAGTGGGAACTAGGGAAAACCCGCAGGCAAGAGCCCCTGCTACTACTGTAGTGAAGATGCATCCTTTTTGAGGTTTAGTCAAAGGAGAACAGATGTTGAAATGAGATGAGGTGTCAGCAAATTGGAGTGACACGGGAAGGCTGTTCCAAATGGCATAGCCTGCAAAGGGGAAGGTTCGCACACCAACAGAGGGGAGAGGGTGTGACAGGACCGAGGAGGTGACCAAAACTACATGAGGAAGCCTGGGAGTAAAGAGAGACAAAGTCCATC